CATGCGGATGAAGTTGCGGCCAAACTCTAGGCTATCTATATATAAACTTTGAGTACTATAGCGTATACATACATAGCTACCATAAAGTCGATTTGTTCGGAATCAATAAATTATCCTAAAATGAAGTACCACGAAGTGATGTGATCATGAAAGGCAAGACCGAAGACATTTGTTTTGTTTGTTTTTTTTTTTTAGATATAATAAAATATAGCTTCTACATACATATGTATGTATGTACATATTGCATGCAAAAAATAATAAAATAATAATTATGTTCATATCTTATCAAACGAAAAAAAAATTCAAAAATATTAAGGCGCACTGTTTTTTGTCATAGAAATATTATTAACTAATGATTCATTTAAATTCTGGCGAATAAACAATAAAACGAACAAATTAATTTGTTGGAAACTCGCACCTTTCCCAGCTTTACACATTGGGGCTATACTAGCTTACATATATACATATTTAAATAAACAATAAGCTACTTTCATTGAGCTTAAATTAGCGTCATCAAAACGCTTTGAAAACTCTCTACACATGTATGTATGTATGCATATATAAATCTTACTTTCATTTAAACTATATTAACAGAAATTTAACAGCAATAACAACAACTAATTTGCTATCAGTGCCAACAGTGGCTGTTTGAACGTGCNTACTATAAAAAAAAAATCGATTTTTTGAAAATTCTGGACGTATGTAACCCCTTAAAATGAAGTACCACGAAGTGATGTGACCATGAAAGACATGGCCGAAGACAGTTGTTCTTGCTTGTTTTTTTAGATATAATAAAATATAGCTTCTACATACATATGTATGTACATATTGCATGCAAAAAATAATAAAATAATAATTATGTTCATATCTTATCAAACGAAAAAAATAATTCAAAAATATTAAGGCGCACTGTTTTTTGTCATAGAAATATTATTAACTAATGATTCATTTAAATTCTGGTGAATAAACAATAAAACGAACAAATTAATTTGTTGGAAACTCGCACCTTTCCCAGCTTTACACATTGGGGCTATACTAACTTACATACATACATATTTAAATAAACAATAAGCTACTTTCATTGAGCTTAAATTAGCGTCATCAACACGCTTTGAAAACTCTCTACATACATATGTATGTATGTATGCAATCTTACTTTCATTTAAACTATATTAACACAAATTTAACAGCAATAACAACAACTAATTTGCTATCAGTGCCAACAGTGGCTGTTTGAACGTGCTTAGCGCAGGTGTTTTTCAACGCAAAATACAAACATACGAGTAGATAATACATATATACGTATGTATGTATGTATAAGCATTTGAGCAAAATAAATACAGTCGTATTTTTTTAAAGTAATTACAAACATACATACATACATGTAATGTACATATACGAATATATGTTGGCATGTGCCCCTGACGCTGGCATGCGCCACTTCTTTAATTCTAAAAATTTCGTTAGCCATCAAGCGAATAAATGAAATGCAAAATAAATATTTAATAAAAATTCAGAAAATGTTTATCAATATCATTAAATATTATCGCTGTTAATATTGCAAATATACAAATGTACATACATATGTATGTGATGTATAAATATCTGTATACATGCATTGGTGACTTACAAGGTATACCTAAGACTTGCTTATAAACTTATAAGCATATGTTTTTAAATAACTATATATGTATATATGTATGTACTATGTAGGTTTAACAATAAACAAAAGGCAATTGTAATTCGCATGCAAATAAAAAATATACCCTAAATATTTTCTTGCTGTCTTGCATATCAATTAGTGCAGGTAAACGGTGTCAAATTGTGCATATGCACATACATACATACTCACATACATACATACATATGCAAGATCGCCCGTCCAACTCAAGCTAAAGTGCGCTCGAATAAAGTAGGTTGTGATTTCTTTAATTTGATTGACATTTTTATAGACAATTACATACAGACATATATATATATATATATGTACGTTTGTCTCCATTGGTTAATCAGAGACTGAATTTTCCGACCTTCCTTACCCACGCTGGCATTGAAATCTCGTGCTTTAAAGTAAATTATGGCAAGACATTTATCCCTCGCGATGATTGAAGCAGTCGTTACATATTTACAAACATACATACACGTACATTAAGACCAGAAAGTTTCTGGAAATTGTAAGTAAATAGTAAAAACTTTAATCTTCACCATTATTTATTTTGTCGCCTTCAAAATATGCTCCTTCTGCAGCGATATACTCGTATGCCAAGTTGTTTTTCCAATTACCGAAACATGCCTTTTAGGTGCTGTCCGAGATCGCTTTCAGTTCCCTCTGCCCTTTCCCTTTCTTACGGTCTCAATCGCGTCAAAAGGGGTTCCACGGCGTGGTAACTTGAGTTTTGGAAACAAAAAAAAAATCGCATGGGGCTCAATCTGGTGAACACGGTGGTTGATCGATGGTATTGAACGAGTCTTGGGTCTTAAATCGTTCACAACTACAGCACGTTGTGATGTCGCATTATCGTCATGGAACTTTCCGGAAATTGTTGGCCCACAACTCTGGCCGTTTACGACGGATGTTTTTGCGCAAACGCCTCAAAACGTTTAAATAATATTCCTTATTAACCGTCTTTCCCGTTGGAACGAACTCATGATGAACCCAACAGCGTAAATTGAAAAAAAAACGATATCCAGAATTTTTCTGGTGGGGATTTTTTATCGAAATTCTTTGTCCATACAAAAGACTGGATTATAATTTGTCGGAGTATAATCATATCTGGGTTATGTCTTTCAAGATTTTGTATTCCAAGATGATATATACTTACTTACTTTACTACCTATTTTATCTTTCCAACGGAGTAGAGGTCTTCCCCTTCCTATGCTTCCACCGGCGGGTACTGCACCGAAAACTTTCAAAGCTGAAGTATTCACATCTATACGGATCACATGACCTACCCAGCATGGCCGCTGCTTCTTGATTCGCTGAACTATATCAATGTCGCCGTATAACTCGTACAGCTTGTCGTTCCATCGTCTGCGGTATTCGCCGTTGCCAACGCGCAAAGGACTATAAATCTTACGCAAATACTTTCTCTCGAAAACTCCTAACGCCGTCTCATCAGATGCTGTCATCGTCCATGCTTCCGCACTATAAAGCAGGACGGGAATAATGAGGGACTTGTAGAGTTTGGTTTTCGTTCGTCCGGAGAGGGCTTTACTTTTCAATTGCCCACTCACCCCAAAGTACCATTTGTTGGCAAGAGTGATTCTGCGTTAGCCTTGAAACGTTATAATTGGTGTTAATGCTGGTTCCTAGATAGACGAAATTATCTACGACTTCACACGACAAAGAGTCACCCTGTCTGAAGCCTCGTTTGGTATAAAACGGCTCGGAGACGTCCTTCCCAACTCTGACTGCGCTTCTGGTGTTCTCTAGCGTCAGCTTACACTGCCGTATAAGTTTTGCGGGAATGCGGCAGCTCCTTTTCGTGCTGTCGTAGGCGGCTTTAAAATCGACGAAGAGAGGTGGTGGGTGTCGATCCTCTTCTCACGGGTCTTTTCCAAGATTTGTCGCATGGTGAATATCTGGTCAATGGTTGACTTACCAGGTCTGAAGCCACACTGATAAGGTCCACTCATTTTGTTCACAGTAGGCTTCAGTCTATCACAAAATACGTGGCGATATTGAGGCGGCTTATAGTTTATTTTTCAAAACGATTATATATGACTGTATATACATATGTGCATATGTACTTCATCTGAAAAAATTTAATAGGTCTAGAAAAAATAAATTTTTTCGTTATGTACTTTTTGAAGTCAGTTGTCAGTTGCTGCTTTTATGTCTGTATGTAGGTACATTCGCATGTACAAATATCTATTGTATGTATGTATGTATGTATACATTAATATATTCGCAAACAATTTTTATTTGGTTTAATTGTTTATATTTTTGGCAGTGCTTACCAGTCCGAAATGTGGGTCAAAATGGCATTTGATAAAAATTGTAAAAAAAAACTATTTTAATATCGAGCAGCAATTGTGTTGTAGACATGCAAATTATATACTTTGAACTTGAAAGAAGTATTATATGAAATAATAAAATTAAAAATTAATTAAATAATGCCATTTTGGTAGCCATGATCAAGGGGACAACCGTAAGCTTACTTACTATTTGTTCATAAATATATTTAAATAATTTTTTGTATTAACACAAATTGCAAATTTCATACATTTAGTGAAATCATATATGCATGTTTGTATGTATGTAGAAGACTAAAATAAATAATACAAAAATGAAAGCTGTGTTCACCTTCACCCAGTTAACTAAATGTGCATAAGTTCTACATGAGACGCGTATATTTATCTATAGTTAGGCATACATATTTACAACACCTAAAAAAAATCGTAAATACGTAACCAAATATGTGTTTTACTATTAAACTATAAATGCAGCTGCCATATGCTTAGTTTAAGAAAACTGCATAGAAGTTCTTGGAAAACAGTTGATTAAATACAAAATCATGTAAATATTCAAACATAAGCATGTATGTGTGCATAGGCAGGTAGCTGAAGATGCATACATATGTACATATGTATGTAAAATGAACGTATCTCATGTATGCCTACCTGTGTTACGTTATCACAAATTAAATAAAAAGTTGTAAAACTTACACACGCCAAGATACAAACATACAAACAAACATAAGTATGTGCACGTCATTAGGCCGATTATAAGCAAAAGTAGATTATGCCAGCACATACAAATGCATTTTTTATGCACATTGCATTTAAATAGATGGCATTTTTCCGGTTAATTGGAAAACAAAAATATTTATTGTTCCTACAAATATATTTATTTATTTATTTATACACATATATTTTTGCTTTTTCACACATTTCATTTATTTATTTATTTATACACACATATTTTTGCTTTTTCACACATTCCTTGTAAAGCCGCAGTTTTTTACATACGATAAATATTTTTCTTTCATCCATTGCAGCTACAACGAGCCCTATTGATGAACTGACGAGCCGTTCGGAGTTAAGAGATTTAAATAAAATTCCATTAAAAAGGAGAATAGATGTGAGTGCCAAGAAATATTATAATAAAATTAATACTATTAACTAAAATGTTGTTGCATTTCGAACACATTACATCAAAATAGATACTGTATAGATGGTGAGACATGAAAAATAATGAAAAATACGAGCTCTTAAAACGATGAAGATCATATATTAGGTCGAGTAAGAAGTTCGTTCGGTCTTTACCTAAGAGTTGATGTTATTGTACATAGTTCAGATGTTACGTGTCGCATTATGTCATACTTTACGGCGCTGAAGACGTGTTTATTCGCGCTAAAAGTTTGTCTTTGACAGTTTTTCGATTGACTGACTCAGTACGTTGTGAACGCTCGTCAAAGATGGACACCAGCAAAGAGAAAATTCGCTATATTTTATGATTTTTCTTCCATCCAGGCGAAAAAGCAGCCGAAGCGGCTGAACAAATAAATTTAGTTTATGAGCCCGATACTGTAAACGAACGTGTAGCACAAAAGTGGTTTTCTAGGTTGCGTTCCGGTAATTTCGATGTCAAAGATGCACCAGGCTCTGCTGTGTGTTTGGTGGGACTGGCAAGGAATCATCTACTACGAGCTACTCCTCTATGGCCAAATTCTCAATTCGGCCCTCTACTGCCGACAAATGGACCGCTTGAGGGTCGCACTCATCCAGAAGAGGCCATCTTTGATCAACAGGGGCCGAATTGTGTTCCATCAGAACAACGCCAAGTCACACACGTCTTTGGTGACGCGCCAGAAGCTCCAGGAGCTTGGATGGAAGGTCCTAATGCACCCACCTTATAGTCCAGACCTGACACCAAGTGATTACCATCTTTTCCTGTCCATGTCGAGTGCGCTTAATGGTGAGAAGTTGGCCTCGAGAGAGGCCTGTAAAAATTGGCTCTCCAAGTTTTTTGTCAATAGGGACGCAACCTTCTACGAGAGGGGTGCACTGAATTTGGCATCTCGTTAGCAACAAGTTTACGAACAAAACGAACTTTTTACTTGACCAAAGATGTATGTAGACTAGGACTTGAAGGCATGACCTTCCACATAATAGCACGCACTCCTTGTTGTAATCTCATAATAGCCCACAGATGTGAAACATCTATGCCCTTTATCTGCTGAAAAGAAAAAATATGACGAATTTTTTAAGATAAAAAACATTCAGAAGTCGCCTCAAGCATTATTTCAACAGAGAAAGTTTTCCGCAGATTAACTTTAGCAAATATTGTATCATACTCAAATGAAACTTTATATGCACATTATGTGTACATATGTATGTACATATAAGTGCATGTGAGTTGTGTGTTTAAGATATTAAAGATTTAAGATTTTAGGCTGACAAAAATCAGTATGAGGAAATTCTAAAGCAAACATCAAGACATTCGTTATATACATACATATGTACATTTGTACTTATATGCACTGTAAATATGTACAATTGTTTATGTGTTCAATTCTTGATTTAATGAATGAACACGTTTATATAATATACGTGTATGTATATTTACATTTATATATATAAAAGAGAATATAAATGAGCGCCTCGGCTGGCTCGTATAAATTCCAGTCCAGAGGCCCGATTTTCGACCAGTTTTTGCAGCAATTTTGCAGTTTCAGCAATAATGCGCTGAATAATCTCTTCCAAGGTGTTAATCGTTTCGGGCGACTTTACATATGTTTGTATCTATATACCACGACTGAAGTCATTTTCGGTCTAGCTTTTTCGTCTTCTTCTCCTCTTTTTTATTAGCGTTGGCATCGTCTACGCCATTCATCTCTCCTTTTTGCTGTTTGGCGCCAGTTGGAAATACCAAGTGAAGCCAGGTCGCTCTCCACCTGATTCTTACAACAGAGTGGAGGTCTTCCTCTTCCTCTGCTTCCACCTGCTTCCAATACTTTCATAGCTGGTGCGCTTCCATTCGTTCGGACGACATGAGCTAGCCAGCGTAGCTGATGTCTTTTCATTCGCTGGACTATATCAATATCGCCGTATAACTCGTACAGCTCATCGTTCCATCATCTGCGGCATTCGCCATTGCCATTGCGCAAAGGACCATAAGTCGTTCGCAAAACTTTTCTCTCGAAGACTTCTATGGCCGACTTATCAGATATTGATATCATCCACGTTTCTGTGCCATATGCAATAGTAGGACGGCTATGATGAACGACTTGTAGAGTTTGGTTTGCCTTCGCCGAGAGAGCATTTTAATTTCCAATTGGCTACTCAGTCCAAAGTAGGACCTGTTAACTTCAAAGTTATGACTGTCAACAGTGATGCATCGTCGTCTTATTACAACCAAAGTTCGAACCTAAGTAGATGGGCACAGGTCGAATTGTTGCGCATGATAGTGGATGGATTCTTTTGGATATTTTTGGATATTCGGTGCGTCTTCGGTGTAAACTGTGCATAAGTGGTGGTTGTTGGGAATTATCCACTCTGCTTTGTCCTGGATGACTGACGGATCAAACCACAGGCTTAAACCAAAAGAAATGTTTTTTCTTTCGTGCAGTGGACTTAGGACCAATCTATTCGAACAATTTTTATTTAGCGTTTGATTTAAATGCAAAATTTTTACAGAGCTAGCTTTGGACCTAAATTAATATTGCGAATAGTTCTTTTTCGGAAAGTGGACCCGTGGTCGATCTATTTCAAAAATCGGGCTTATGATTCGATTTACATGCTGCAGAGGTAGGATTTTGCCTAAATTATCGTCGGATACACTTTTTATTCCAAGAAGTATTCCTGAGATCCATTAGATAGATTGGTTTTGCTTAGTATATGAAACAAATACAGACAGCTTTTTACTTATGTAACTACGAGGGCAAAAAGTAAGGTGAATTTCGCGCGTTTAATATTTCGGGTTAATTCTTTCTTTTTAATGTTGGTGGTACTGTTATTGACATCTACGCCAAATTTCATGCCGATGTCATCATTGGTATTTTAGTTACGATTGTGGGTACTGAACGACTAAAGGTGCCTTCGGCGCTTTTATGATGTCTGATTTAATTGAGCAAAGAAGTGCGATCAAATTTTGTTGGCGGCACGATTCTCCGGCTGCTGAAACAGTTGAGAAATCTTCACAAAGCCTTTAGGCACTCAACTATATCACAGTATAGCATATATAATTAGTAAAAAGACTGCAAAGAGGGTCGGAAACGTGTTGATGACTTGGAGCGCTCGGGACGATCATCAACGTCAACTGATGGGGTACACGTCAATGAAATTAAAGAATTAGTGTTCAAAAATCGTCGACTGATTGTTAGAGACCTTGCTGATATGGTTGGAATATCAGAAGGATCTGTAAAACGACTATTTGGGCCTATGAAAAGTCAAATCTCATTTGGTTCCAAAAACACTCAATTTCATGGAAAAAAAATTGTCGCGTTGATGTGTATGAAACCATGCTTTCTGACTACCGGAACAAGCTGAAATGCATGATTACAGGAGGTGAGACGTGGACTTAGCACCATGAGACTTCTGGCTCTTCCAAAAACTCAAGAGACCGCTTCGAGGACACCGTTTCGAGTCGATTGAGGAGATTAAACAAGAATCGGCGCGCTCTCTGAAGGACAAAGCGTTGACACATGTGCTTTGCATCGGCAGGGGACTATTTTAAGGCGACGAAATCGATGTAGAAGAATAAATAAAAATTTTAAATTTTACAAACGAATTCTCCTGACTTTTTGCCCACAGTAGTAAATGCATGGAGAATTTCTTTTTGTGACGGATCTATTCGAAAGAATCATGGTTCGTTTGTTTGAAATTTGAAATCTAGAATGCTCATCGCCTTGGCTAATATGTGTACGATTTTCATCTCAGCGAATGAAGTCGCGTACAAAATCTAGTTTAATGTAAATCGCAAAAACAAATACAGAAAGCCACAACAGTATATGGCCGGGTCTTCTAGTATACAGAAATATCATATTTTCCAAAGTCATTATATTAACTAATTGCATTTCAAACCACTTTAAATTCCGCTAATAATTGTTTAATAGTGAATTGATTATTAAAAGAGAATGTGCCGTAGAATATTTTATATGAATTTTTTAATGCGCCAAGGCAAGCGGATTAAGTGAGAATTTCATGATTACTAAGAAACAATTACAGTTATTACAATGCTATAATTCGCAAAAATTCTTATTTACTGAGTTAATTTCCTCTCAAAAATTGAAAAAAAAACATCTACTATAAAATTTCATACATATCTATTCATCTATATGTATTCATTTCCTATAAATTGCAATTATTTACAACGAAAAAAAACAAATAGAGACAGACCGACGTGACGATATGCAGTAGACAATTGATTTGTCACACAATAACTGTCAAAATATGCCAAATAAAAAAATAGTAATATTAAAATTTTAGCTAAACGTGATTTAGCTGCTGCATAAGGTGACAAACTCGTGCTCATTTCCATATGCCTGAGCTAATTTCGGATTACCACTACTGTGTCGAACGCAATGAGACAATATATGTATGTACATACAGACATTCATACACATACATATGTATATTGCCAAACTACGTACATACATGCGTCCACACATAGTAAAGAAATTAGCCAATTCAATTCATTAACGATTCTACGAAGCCTAATTTAATTTGCTCATGACTCATTCAAATGTAACGTACAGAATTCATTTCGTCATCAAACGAATTTCCCTGCCTAACCGGTAATCAGTTGAGTGCAAAGGTATTGTCTGTATATACATACCTTTATATTGCAGTATATATTATACATTATATATGTATGTCCATAAGTGAGTATATTTCTCTAGCGTAATCACAATCTTAATGCTTATAAAAATATATGTACATACGTATATACATAAATATATATTAGGTCAAGTAAAAAGTTCGTTCGGTTTTTATCTAAGAGTTGGCGTTATTGTCCATAGTAATAGTGTTACGTGTAGCATCATGTCATACTGTACGGCGCGCTTTTGTTTATTCGCGCTTCTCTAACAGTTTTTCGATTTATTGACTCAGTACGTTGTGAGCGCTCGTCAAAGATGG